TCTTATGTACATACATACTATGTATTTATACTTTCTTTATACATATTAGTCTATTAATGTACTAATGTATATACAATACATCTTATATCAATCTATGTGTACATATATTTATTTTATACATAATAGTCTATTAATATATTAATTTATCTTCAATCCCTCTTATGTACATACATACTATGTATTTATACTTTCTTTATACATATTAGTCTATTAATGTACTAATGTATATACAATACATCTTATATCAATCTATGTGTACATATATTTATTTTATACATATCAATCCATTGGTGTACTATTTCATATACAATGCATCTTACATTTTTTATCTTGTACATTTATGCGGCTTTATAATTATTTTCTAGTTTCTTGATCTTTCTTCCCTTAATGCTTTTTTGTTCTTTTCCTCTAGCCATTTATACCACATATTCCAAACCAAATAATACGGTAATCAGATTCTCCTTTCTCCTTTATTTCTTTTGTGAGTCTGTCCATCTCAGCACACTCCAAAACTTTTTTTTATCACATTTTCCTCTGTATATTTTTATTCTTCCAATTTTGTGCGTATGTGATTCTCGCTGTGGTTCTACTCTTTTTTTAAAAAAATCTGCCTTTTCTAAAAATTAATCTAGCTCCAATTTCTTAACAGTTCCTCAAAAATTAGAAGAGCCCCTAAAATAGGATAGTTTCCACATTCAAAACATGACTACTGAACATTTGTATTTTTAAAAAATACATATAAAAATTGTTTAACATATTTTCTGCTACCTATTCTGGATTCCCACCCCAGAGTTTCAGCAGAGAAGTTTTCATCTCCTTGTTCCTAAGGGTATATATTAATGGGTTCAACAAAGGGGTTACTGTGGTGTAGAACATGCTCACCATGCCATCCATGGAGTCCTGAGAAGTTGGTCTCAGATAATGGTACACCACAGGCAGGTAGTATATGGCCACCACGGTAAGATGGGCGGTACAAGTTGAGAAGGCTCGGCGCCGTCCTTCATGGCTACTAATTCTCAGAATAGCCATGATGATGTAAACATAGGATGCTAGGATAAGGAGAAAGCAAGTCATTGCTACAAGGCCAACATCAATGAAGGTCATCAACTCATTAAGCTTTGTATCAGCACAAGCCAACTTCAATATGGCGGGAATGTCGCAGAAGACATAGTCAATATGGTTTCTTTGTCCATAAGGCAACAGAAAGGTGAGCGAAGTCTGAAATGTAGAGTTGAGGCAACCACCAATTATGGTACCCAAGGAAAGGATGAGACAGAGTCTCCAGTTCATGATGTTGCCATAGTGGAGTGGTTTACAGATGGCCAAGAAGCGGTCGTAAGCCATCAAGGTGAAGAGTAAGCTTTCCGCACATCCCAAGAAGTTGAAGAAAAATATTTGAGTCACACATCCAGAAAAAGAGATCATATTCTCCCTAAGGTTGAATCCTGCAATAACAGTAGGGACCACCACTGCTGAGAAGGCCATGTCCAGGGTGGAGAGATGACACAGGAACCAATACATGGGCTTGTGGAGTCGAAGGTCAGAGATCACTACCAAGATGATCAGTGAATTTCCAGCAAGAGTGAGAGCAAACATGACCGAGAAGAAGAAAATCAAGGGGAGCGTAAATTCTTCTGGATATGGGAACCCAGAGAGGACAAAATTGTCTGGGATTGTTTGATTTGAGCAGTCCATGTATCTGCTTTTCTGAGGCACTTTGAGGAGTGAGAGATTTTTAGGAGAAATGTTTCATTTCCAGATAGTTCTTAACCGAGAAACTTATTTTCATTCTCCACGTTTTGCCTTTATGGCCTAAGGAGGTTTAATGGATTCCAATTGTTAATGTCAACACCACCCCTACATAACAGTGTGATCTCTCAGTTATTTCCCAGGCATTTGGAAAGTATAACAGTTCTAAAAAAACAATGTCCATGTCAAAAAGAAGCCACTGGATACCTTAGATGGAACTAACATTATGTCAGTCACATCTTCAACCATATAATTAGTTCTTTCTTGTTAAAATTCTAGCCTTATAGATGTATGTATCTCTAGCTAGGGCCAACTTCTTTGTCAGTTCCTCATAAAAATAAATGGGGAAAACACATGCCTTTCAAAATCCGAGACAAAATTTTGGAGTTAATGATGTTTTAGGGGGAAAAAAGAGGAGTTCAACCTATTCTCCAAAGCATCTGAAGGTAGAACAAGAAGCAATGGATAGAAACCTATCAAGGAATTAGGGGACTGGAGGCTAAAAAATACCATGAACAGTTGCAAGTACTCGGTTTGGCTAGTCTAGTGAAGAGAAGGACCAGGGAAGACATGCTAACAGTGTTCCAATATTTGAGGGGCTACCACAGAGAGGAGGGGGTCAAGCTATTTTTCCAAAGCACCCGAAGACCAGACAAAGAATAATGGATGGAAACTGGTCAAGGAGAGATTCAATCTGGAAGTAAGGAGAAATTTCCTGACTGTGAGAACAATCAACCAATGGAACAGTTTGCCTTCAGAAGGTGTGGGAGCTTCATCACTGGAAGTTTTCAAGAAGAGATTGGACCTCTATTTGTCAGAAATGGTGTATGGTCTCCTGCTTGGGAAGGGGGTTGGACTAGATGATCTAGAAAGTCCCTTCCAACTCTGTTAACCTGTTAGGAGAGAAGCAAGTTGGAACTAAGAAGAAATTTCCTGAC